GTGTCCGGGCAGGGATTGCAGCCGGAGCTGTGCTGCAGTTTCTGGGTGCGCCACCAAACCCAGCGGGGCGGGGCGGGTGTGGGGACAGTGCCCCTGTCACAGGAACTGGCACTGCCCCAGGAACTGTCCCTGCTCCAGGAACTGGCACCGCCCCTGTCCCAGCTCTGGACCTGCTGTGAGGCTGTCATGGTTTTTTGGGGTCACATTTCCGCGTTAGTGGGAGCACAGCCCGAGGRGTTTTGGGAATGTTTCTGCCCTGGGACGGTTTCCTTTCTCACCGGGACAATTTATCCCCGCCCTGCCGCAGATGGGGTGAGAGGTGACATCCTGATAGACGTGGGCTGTGGCCCCACCATCTACCAGCTCCTGTCTGCTTGCGAGCACTTCCAGGAGATCTTTGCCTTGGACTACACTGATCAGAACCGCCGGGAGCTGGAGAAGTGGCTGAAGAGGGAACCGGGAGCGTTTGACTGGGAGCCGGTGGTGAAATACGTSTGTGAGCTGGAGGGGGACAGGTGAGGCTGCTGTGCTGCTGTCACTGCCCAGGGAGTGGCACAAACCATGTGACAGGGAGCTACAGGCGCAGATGCTAAATAGCCACAGAATGAGGTTTCATTTATGGAGGCTCATTTTTACATTTTCTCGCCAGGGAGAAGTGGGCTGAGAAGCAGGAGAAGGTGAGGAGGAAGGTGACRCGGGTTCTGAAGTGCGATGTGACCAAAGCCAACCCCACGGAGCCCGTGTCRCTGCCCGCAGGCGACTGCATCGTGTCCACGCTGTGCCTGGAGGGCGCCTGCAAGGACCTGCCCGCCTTCCGCAGCGCCCTGAGCAACATCAGCACCCTGCTSAGACCCGGGGGACACCTGGTCATGGTCACCGTGCTCGGGGAGASCTACTACGCCTTCAACAAGCAGGTGTTCTCGTGCCTGCTGCTGGAGAAGCACGAGGTGCAGGAGGCTGTGATCGCCGCTGGCTTCSAGCTGAAGTTCTTTGAGGATCGGCCCTACACGGCGGACGACGATGGCACCGACATCAAGGGTGTGATCGGCCTGGTGGCACAGAAATGTCCCTCTGCCACCGTGTAGGGGGGGCTCGGGGGGACAGCGGTGCTGAGCGTGGCTCAGAAAGCAGCTCGGGGGTTCCCAGCCCTTTATCTGCTCTGAATAAACTCCTGAGTGCTCCARCCCTGGGTGTGAGTTGGGATTTGTGGGGCACACACAGCACTGAGGATTGGGGTGACACCACTGCCTCCCCCAGCCAGGATAGTGCCTGAAAGGTATAATTATATAAATACATTAAAAAMCAAAAAACCCACCCAAACTCCCCAAACAAACCAACCACTGAGCCTGTTCTAAAGGTGAAAAGTGGAATTGGTTGAAGTCTCAGCAATATTCCAAGTGTCTGCACATTGAGAGTGAAAACAACCAAAGAATGGGATTTTCCTCCCAAAGCAAAAGTTTCTGTTTTTCCACTTTGCTCCTTTGAAGAGCAAAAAGGGCACAAAATAGCGACACAAAAAAGCACAGCGGAATCCCAAGAGCATCTCTAAAGCAGCTGAGGTGGTTGCTGTTCTCTCAGAATGTATTTTCCACGCCTGGGCTGGGCA